ATATAATAACGATTTGGAAATTCGTTCATGTGGTGTTCTGAGCGATAATTAGTATATTTTGAAACAAATTGCCGAAGACAGATTAAGTTGCTTGAAAGCTTCGAGAAAAATTAGCACAGCGTCGATTTTTTATTGTTCACATAACGCTACGGATGGCGGCTGCGTCACGACGTATGTGCGTGCGGTCAACTGAGTACTTGGTAGCAAAGAGATGGCCGATTGTTGACGTGAAGTCAAGTGCTACCTCAAGCGTTGAATAGAGGCGAGCGTTTGCACCACAGAGAAAACACAGACAGAATAAAAAAAGATTGCATGTAACGTAGAATGGCAACTGCAATAGACTTTCGCAACGGGTGGCTGCAGCAAACCCCTTTAAGGGATACAGCTATTTCCCTTTCTTTTTTGCAACGATTTTCATCGGTCAAGCATTAGATTAGTTTAGTTAATTTCTTAACTAACAATAAGATCTCCTGAACCGTTATCCTGAACCGAACTATTTTGATTTGGTGTATATATAGGTACATAGTAATTTTATTTCCGTCGAAACGCAGCACCATGTACGAGTGACGTCGATAAACTTTTCGATTTGAAGCTATTTCCTTACGTCTCCTCGGTGTTAAACTGTAATTCATTATTCGAAATGGCTGTTAGAAACTGCCGGTTAGAGCTGTACCGTGGTATTTTGTTCGAATAGCTTTAACACTGTTTATCTGGTTTTTCATCGAAAAAGTAGATTGCTAGTTGATTTCTTCCAGTGCTCAACCATTGGTTTTCGGCCTGAAGTGCCTCAAAGCTTTCGGCTGCGGAGCCTCTTCGTACACTACTACAAAAGTCATGAATTTCTCGCGCTCGCGCCAGCCACCCAGATTCCATATGTGTCTCTCATGCTTTATATTCATATTCCTTGCAAGGACGATACATTATTCTAAGGAGGATGTCGAACGCTCTATTTGGCAAAACAGGCCTCTGATATTAGCTTTACTACCTCCGCCATTACTGTCACATCACAGTCCAATTTGTTAAGTTAGGTATGTACTTCCGGTAGAACTTCTGTAGCATGTCAGTTTTTACTAAAAGGTAGGTGGGACAAATTCCACCATTTTAATTATATTTTCCCTTTTTTCTCTGACATACTGACATTGTTATTTATTCCCAGTTTTTTATTTTTGAGCTAGAAACCATGTAGACAACTATATACACGATCATTCTGCGAGTCACGTCGTTAAGTTGGTCGCCTGTAATTTTACGACAAGGACCTTGCTGTGAAGTAATTATCAAGGATGTAAGTAATCATATGTTTATTGTATTCTGGTAAGTAAAAACCTCGTTGTCGAAGGCAACACTTAGTTGGTTTACGTACATAGGTCACTTTATGTTAGTAGTAATTACTTTAAAGCGTCTTCTTGTAGCCCTTACCACGGAGGAACTAGGTAAACGTGAATAGACACAATATTTTAATAGGTAAAAGAGAGAAAGTGAAGGCATGAGGGTCATTTTAGGGACACTATGCGTTATTATTTAGCATCTTCTAATTCAACATTTTAGGATTCAAGGAAAGGAACCTTATCGAAAAAGTATCAAGGCGTCGTTGTTGTTCTAGAAATATCCCAAAGTGGCGCTACCCGCTGGCCGTGTCGACATTACGCGTTTCGGGCCTTCAGCCATGGTTCGTTTGGTCAGACGGTCCGTACACCGACGTGCGCTGCGCCGTCTTGATAACATGCTGTTGCATTCCTTTTGGTATTCTTTTGCTTAAAAATAGTAGTGTTAGTTCCAGCCTCTTTCGTCGTAGTCATAATTATGCAATTATAATTATTTAACCTTAAAAGCGAGATAATCTTATCAGATCGGTGTGACGAGTCAAAGAATGCAATGCATCCTTATCAGTTCAGGCTAAACAAAGGAAGCAAGCAATTTTTATTTTAGAATTAATCAAATATTTTAAAAGCTTATGAAGATTCAATTTGACACTATAGTTTCCCGCTAATATGACGATTATAATCTATTACATAACTTTAATAATTGGCATGAATTGTGCAGTACCCTAGTGTCCATATGACAGTTGTATAATATAACAAGGAAAAGCTTCCGCCTACAAAGGTGGCCTTACGGAAAGGAATAAACATTTATTAAGGCTATTGCTCTTGCAGAATTGAAAAGCATGAATGATTATCATCTATTTTAGTAAAAATTAATGTCGCTGTTCACTAAAAGTAGCTTATTATACGATTTGCTAATCGGCGGTGAATTTTGTTAGACACGTCACCACGTTTGTTTACCTCGAACTGTCATTTGGACAAATTAAATGAAATTTACAACAGATCAGTGATTGCAGACGTCTCTACATCTGTGAAAAAGACCGCATCAGCTTTCTCATTCTATAAAAGATTCGTGCTTACAAATAGACCAACATGTTTTTATCAGTCGACTATAGCCGGCTGTTCTTTCTGTTGTGATACGTGGTGAGGCCAGAGGAAATAACAGCTTTGAAGTAAGTGGAGTTATAGTCGTTGTTTTGAGATGAGGCAGGCAAATTGGCCATACAATCAACATAAAAGAAGCAAATTCAGTACTAAAGGTCAAACTGACTACGTGTGCTAACATAAGACTGTGCTCGATGTGGAGCGCTAAATATACACTGTTATCATCTTTATCATATTTGTCACATATAGATTACTCATAAAATTATAATAAAAATAACTACTAAAGACTATTACTAATCATAATATAATTACTAGTAGAATTATAAATTCGCTTACAGTGTTTCAAAGTGTAAGTCTACTTTTGGCCCCTGTCGCATTCTCTGTATACACTTCTTACGATCAGAGTATGCGGAAATGGAAACTTACTTGATAGCTTTCCTTTGAGTGGGAAAGGATTATCTTCAGTTTACCGTTAACCTTATGTATATCAGAGCACTCAAAAGCTGATTTGGAAAGTTTGGATACGGGTAAAACTTAACTACTAGCATTGTTGACACCGGCACACACCGATATACACGGATCAATATAAAAACTGTATCCGAACAAAGTGTGCTAGTGCAAGTAAATCCACTATATGATCGAAACAAATTTGTCAACAATAGAAAATGTAGTATTATCATATCTTCAAAACACACATGATATCGCATCGTTCTCCTTACGAGCATACTTAAAACACTCGTTTTAAATCGTTTTGTGTGTCTCTTCTTATTCGTATTTACATCGTCGCAGTCTGAAATCTATAGAATTTTATACCACATGGTATTGTGTTTTATAATGCCCGCTTTCTCCGTAAACGGCAATTTGATGGAGCTGGAACGTCGTCTCCTACCCAGAATTTGCGTTTCAGTAAATTTGTTGTGCCAATCTAGCCTCTACGAGATGATTTGGCCCAGAAAATGTAACATATATTAGCAGTTATTAGAAGCATCGTGACCCTGCTCTTCACAGCGTATACCTCGTACAAATACGTAGATGTCTTATAGGTTGGACAATGGCCTCCTGCCGTTTGCTTCTGTCTTCCAGACGGCATGCATTTTGTATTATTGTGTCTCTATAGCGTTAATTATGTTATGTCATAATACACGAAACTCAATTAGCTGGTCTAAGTTACTAATGCGAAGCCCGTATTCGATCAGGTTTCTCCCTCGAGACTGTCAACTTTCCAGTCTCAAAGAGTGGCTAGAAACGATAGGTAAAGTTATAGCGCTTGACTGTTCTTTTAAATAGGTATAATTTAAAGTTTCTTCGTGAGCATCGCCTAAATTCCCTATCTAAACACACTACTTGTTGTTGATTGTAGTGATGCATGGTTTTTCTTGCTGATATTGGCAATGGTTTCCAAAACACCGCAGCGAATGTGACTGAGCTTTTCTTCGTTCTACTTCATTTTTTTTCCATTCTAGTAGACACTCCATCTTTTCCACTCCGTTGCCATTTATGCTTTTGTGACTGAAGCGATTGCATGTCAGTTTTCACTGCATCTGTCCGCTTCGCCGGCTGAATGTGACGGTCTGCGCTCACGAAGCCTTCTGTTCGGATGCTTTTGGTTTGTCCGCACCCTCGTTATTTGGCCTACTAAGAAACAGCGACAGCTCTTAAAGCGGCAGTGGTAGTGAAGGTTGAAAAGTGCCTCTGGAGCGCTTCAATGAAACTTTGCCGATGAGACCGCCACGCTCCGCGGCCGGCGTAGTTTAGAACCATTTGTTGGCTTTCAATAAAAAATCATGCAATGCTTGCCAGGGCAAAATAATGCAATGTAACGCCACTGAACTATAATAGAACGAACATATAGTCTAGTGTTATACAGTGTATTAATAGCGTCTAACCACTTAGCGGAAAACTGTGCTTGTACAAACTGGGCGCATGCGCTCCGTGCGCGTGACCCATAGAATTATACGAATGTGTGCGTAGGCGCACTGCCGTCACAATTCAACAAAGGCCACTGACTAGAGCAATAAGTCAGCAACATATAGACAACTAGTCACTCACTTAAACGGTGTACAACTGTCTCGCCCTGCTAGACATTTGAGGTATCCATGGAAAAATGGTGGTGGTGCGTCTGCTACTCACTCTTTATCCCGCTCCCTACCACCCACGGCTATAATACGTAGACCGTCTGTGAGTGTCTGCTCGTCTCAGTAAAACTGAGGATGCAACGAGTCGCGGCTAACAGGCAGGCAGACAACAACTACCCAATCCATTGCTTTCACCGGATTAACGGTTACACCTACTACTAACGATGCGTTCTAAAAGAATGGTAAAGGAGACAGCACTATCCCAGTCGCGTACCCTTTTCGGGTCTCTGTTCGTGTCTGTGAGAAAGCGTGTTTCGTGTCATGCCGCAAAATTGGCGCGGGGCAACCGCTAAAGCCATGTTGGCTCTATCGCAATCTCGTTTCGGTTGGCCTGTCTACGGATTCGCGCCTCTGACACATTTCGTGTAAGAATCATCTCCGTCTCTCCCTTTCCCACTCGTTTTATCGGCTATCCGACACAGTCACTAGATGGTGGTCGGTATCCTGCAAACAAAACTGTCTGTCGTCATCCGGCAACGAAAATAAGAACTCATCAAAATGGCGACCATGCAAATCGCTGGCCCGGCGGGACATTGTGAGGAAGATATGACCAATCCTAAGGTTTCGACGCCCCTGTCTATACCAGGGCACTCGGGTGCGCCCCGTACACTATCTGCATACCCCACCGTAACTGGAGCATCCGTCATGGGAATTTGCTACGATGGGGGTGTTGTGGTCGCCGCCGATATTGGTGCCTACTTCGGAAAGACGCTTCGCTTCGAAAACTGTCCGCGGATAAGAAAAGTGAATCAGTTTACTCTTATGGCAGTTAGTGGTGACTATGCCGACTTTCAGTATCTCGAGAAACTGACTGAGGCCAAGGTGATTGATGAAGATCGTTACCATGATGGCTTTCAGCTCAAGCCGAAGTCACTGCATTCGTGGCTGTCCCGAGTTTTATACAATCGACGCAACAAATTCGACCCTCTGTGGACAAACATCATTGTTGCCGGTATGCAGGATGGCAAGCCGTATCTCGGCTACGTCGATAAACTCGGATCAGCGTTTGAGACTCATGTGTACGCCACCGGTTTTGGAACCTATCTAGGTCTCGGTCATTTAGCTGAAGCATACGAGAAAAAAAAGGGCAAGCTCAGCAAACAAGAAGCTATCGAAGTTGTTAAAGGTGTTTTGAGAGTCCTCTATTACCGTGACACAATGTCACACCCCAAATTTCAGATTGCTGTCTGCTCCGCCGAAGGAATCTCGATCGAAGGACCTTTTATGATCGACAGCGATTGGTTATGTGCCACACTATCGGGAACGTATTAATTACTGAATAAATGCAGCTGATGAAATAGCTGACGATCGAACGAACGATGAACGCTGGACGATATTCGAATTAGTGGCACGAATAAGTGAAAGATATACGAAGCAATATGTATGTGAGCTTTTGCGGAAAAACAGTTCACCTTTGATGAGAACATAACACTAATAATAAATGTTTTGGTGCTATTTATAGCCAAAAGAAACTGACTAAACAAATCAGATATTGTCATTATCTTACCATTCTCATACAGGATTGGCTGAATTTGCCTGTAGTAAGACTTACGATGCGTATTATTGAAGTGCATGTTACCCTCATAATGTGTGTGGTAACGATATTTGATAGATGTCTGTTGATGACATCTCATCATAGTGCTTTACTTGGAGCGCAAAAAAAATGTTTGGAAGGAACGTATTATGATACTTTATCGAAGGGTTCATTCGGTTACATAGGGACTTCATCTGATCTAGGATTTGATCGTGTTACCACATGTCTCTTGTTTTTTACCACTCCCAAAACAATTGTTCAGCATGGAAGTAAATAAATCAATTCACACGTGTACGGCGATAAAATAATGACGCTGTCAACTGGATTTCACATATATGATCTAATATTGTACAATAGCAAACAACAGTTCGTTTTATCATTGCTACCAACTGAATATCCACAATTAGAAAACTACTACTTTTTATTTACGCGGACAAATAAAAATTCGTTTATATAATTTAAATAATTTATAGGTCGTTCTAGTTTATCAGTAACTTATAACGATATTTCTGACTTCTACATTTACACGTACTGTGCAAAATCTTTTAATTTTCAATATAGATTTTACGCTAAATAATATGAATAGAGGCTTGAAAAATCTGTAAGCTTCATCGTATCTGCTCATTAAGAATTTTACGTTGCCACAGGTCTTAGGGTTTTTACGACTGTTATGCGTAGGGAATATGATATCAGTCCTTTCTGGGACACATAAACAGTAAACTGCTATGACCGTCATGTACGCGAATTTTTTTCCTTAAAAAACGTAAATTATAAAAAGAATTAGTGGAAATAGACATAGTGGTAAACTCTGGTAATTTTTAAAAAAGTTTCGGTTAATAGATACACATCAAGTTCAGTAATCGTCATGTGAGCCATATAATATTTCGCCTTGTACAAAGCTTGTGTTTCTTCCTAATATTACTTGATATGTTGTCGGATGAGAGTTTGGCTTATAAGCAAATCGGGAATTGCTCTTCGCTAAAGCGACCAGCGCGGCTGGTCGCTTTGACTGGATGGAATCAAAAGCACAGCTATAATTAGTTCAAATACCTAAGGAACCATATTTTACTCACACTTAAGTAAAAACACATTTTTTGTAATCTAAAACAAGCTTTGTTAATTCACAGAGTTTACGTAATATATGTGGTATTTTTGAAAAAAAAATTAGGTTATTATTTTCTACTCCAATTACGTTTTTTTAAAGGGTTAAATGGGTTGTACTACTCAATGAGTGATAGCATTAACGGGCCACACTAAAGTGACAGTTTGTAGTCTGGCAAATCTTGAATGTGTTCCTATAAATTGTCTTATTGTATACAGTGAAACTCACGTTCTCGCTCTACCTATTTTATTTGAGCTTCATTCAGGACGTTTACAGCATGAAGACTTTAAAATGATTTGTCAAGTACTTCCAGTTAGTTTTTTCAATGCTTTTTAAAAAGTGAATTATGTAATAGAAGTATCAGAAATAAATTATTTCGATAAAACTATAGATGCTTAATTACGCGGAGCCCGCCACTATACATATATATATATATATATATATATATATATATATATAGAGAGAGAGAGAGAGAGAGAGAGAGAGAGAGAGAGTAGCGTGTTCAAATTGATTTTTCAACAAAATTTTTCCATGTGCTAGAAGTGTGATTTCTGATGATTATGCATAATTAATACAACCATCATCTACAACTATAATGTCTTCATTTCAGGACCTGCACCACCCACTAGTCACTGTCAAAACATTCCTTACCTTAAATTACCTTTTTGTAATAACCGCACGTCAAATGATATTGGTAGATTAAAACCCTAATATTAGTGTTGTTCAAATACGCTACATACGAAAAATATCAGCTGAATGAAATAATGGGGTGACTGCGAATCAAAACGTCTAAAAATGCAATGGCTCAAAACGGCAAAAAAGTCATTCAAAAAAATGTAAAAAGGTCTAAAATATAGACTAACCGTTGGAGCTTGTCTGAATGAATTAATTGGCTACTGATATTCGCCTCCCTAAAATGGCCGCTAATTTCTGCATCGAAAACCCTGGGGTGTATCAGGATTAGTTTTTAGGCAATTTTGATGAATTTTCGAGCCTGTTTTTTGGTACGGCTTGTACCAATAATCTAATGTGTATCTATATATACATATACATCCAGGAGTCGCTGTGTATGAGGTAACCTGTTTTTTCAATAGCTTAGTCTACGTACAAACACTTAAATCATCCAGCAAATGTCACCTATTTTACAAATCGTGAATTTATATAACATAGGTGACCTCATAAAAACTCACTCCTAGATGACGTTATGTTTTGCGCCTAGAGAATGTTTATAGTTGCGTATTTTTCTACATAGAATAGGTAAATTTTTTATGTAAAATTTCCAATACGTAATGTAGGTTCTTCAAAATGATCATATTGGAATGATAAACTCCAGTGACCATGTGCACAACAAAATGTTTCGTCAAAGATAATTTGTACTTTTAATATTCACTCGATGAAAAAGGTTATCTACTGTCAACGTCACATTTTGACCCGTTTGGCTTCCGAATCGCCGAAGATGCTCAATGTGAATATGAGTCTTCACGGCCAAATACACATTTCCATATAATAGTACTACAAAAACTAACTTAAACTATTTATTAGAATATGGTGTTCACGCAACATTTTATTTTACTTTATCATTTTACCCTTGGTACCGAAGTGTGAGTCGATATACTTCATATCAAAACTTTGATTTCTGTGAAAAGTCGAATAGACCTTCAGCTCCGATCATTGATTATACAGTAGCTGCTGGTGGCGTTTTTCACTCATATCTGTTTCCATAATACTTCTACAAACAAATGGGTCCTTTAACAACGTGACGATCCTGTCTTGTGCTTGCCAAATCCGACATCAAATGGTATCTGAAGGAAGAGCAAGGAGTTCATATGGTAGTGGAACACTCGTTGTGCGTTATTGATAATAACAAGAACAATAACAAACATGCAAAGCATAGGATAACATTGCAGTTAATCGCTCTGCCAGCGCAAGACATAACTAATACTAGCAATGGCCTAACGTAATAGTCGAAGTAATCACAACGATGATGACGATATCATCGGACACGACAACAACGTCAACATGGGAATCCCTTATCAGGCTAGGCCTCTCTTGCTGGGTTATGCTAAAGACCGAAAAAAAATATCAAAAATTCTAGACTCACAGTGATACGTGGCATTGTTTATTAACCACTACCTTTCTAGTTATATAGAGAGAGAGATTCACAGTACTATTAGGAATTCGGAGCTCCCAAATAACAATCGACTGTAGTGTATCGTAAGGTAGTAACAATCGGCAGACAGTCAATTTTGATCCGCTACATTCAGTTTAGGATCGTTCCTGTCTGAGATAAACTAAATCGTCATAGAGAATTAGTTTACTTAGCGTGTAGAAGCTCACTAGACCAAGATAACAAGCCTCAACCAGCGAAGATTTAATGAAACTATAACATTTGAGACACATTGGCAGTCTCAGTTGGCGTAACTAAAAAAACAACGGTAACGCAAGCACTGGTTTAGAACAGGTGATGGTAACGATAACAATAACATATCCGTATTTTGTGGAGATTCAGAGAAGAGAGGTGCTGGGATGAAGCAACTCAATACATAGAAACTACGAAACGTATTTTTCGTGCTACAGTTGTGCATACCGCGCTTGGGTTGTTGTTCAACGAGGTATGACTAAACTGTGAGGTATTTTCGAGACCGACAATTCAACTTCCAGCTAATGGATCAATCAGGACATCACGAAGGAAGGAAGTTGTCTTGTCATAGGTAGCTACAGACATTATTCACAGCAACAAACGACGTTGTTGATAACGTCGCGTAATTTAATGAGCATAAAATGTCACCAAATCAAAAGAGCAGATAACGTATTAAACGTTGCTTTCTCCTTTGTTAAGCTTTATCTGTAGCTCATTCACTGCCCTTGTTGTATGCTTTTCCTTAAGGTAACATAAACAAAATCGACACTTTAGAGGAAAGCTTTCTATCTATAGAAAAAATATGTTTGATTTGAAAAATATAATTGAACGAAAATCTGGCAAGACACTCAGATGGTAAGAAGCAATTTTGATTAGTGGCAGACCAAAACTCTGACCTGTTGAAGTCTAGTATCTTTGGCGACATTCCAACTGTCCTTATAGGTCTTCAACGCTTTTCTATTTAATTATTATTATTATTAAATTTCGGTAGAGATATTTATAGTTTGCATGCTAATCTTCTGTAATTGAAATTTACAGCGGGAGTTACCGAAAGAGTGTCGAACCGTTGAGAAGAATGTCTCTCATTGTAGGCATCAATGCCGTTGAAGACATCATATCGGTTATTGCCTACACTTCAAATACCTAAACATTAACTACTTACAAATAATTGAACAAAATTTACGCGCATACATTATCTGGTGACACAGCAATTGTGCGTGATAGACACTGTATGTGCGTTAAAGATATTCATCTATTTAACTATTCATTAAAATTACTTGATACGTTGGATAGTTGGCTACAGAATGGCTAGCCTGCAAAAAGCAAAATATTCTAGCTACACTGTAACCACATATTTCAAGGACATAATGTTTTTAACACTCGCTTTAAATGCTAAATTTCAAAACAAAAGTAATTTATATTGGCATTGGGGATCAGTTCTTGTATGCACTGAATGAGCAAAGCTAGTAAATAATAAGCCGTCAGTAGGTTTTTACTTTTTGACAGGGCTCGCGCAAGGAATTCTGTCATTTGGTAGCAGAGTTCCTCGCGAATATTGCCACCAGAAAACGTTCAATTTGTAATTTAGACAGGATTAAAATTTTGAAGAACGAGTTGTGAGGTTGAGCTGGATTAGAATAGAATTTACATAAACTGATGAGCCTGCTATCCTCTCTTTCCATTGTCGGCCAATTGGAAATTGAAAAGTTTTGACTGTAAGTGTAATAAATAAAAACGTCAAGATTTACTGACTTTTATCGCGGAAGCCTACTTTAACCTGCCAATGTAGGCTATTACCATCTTTTATTAAAACTTATACAGTATGATGCATGGTGGTCCAATATGCTTGAAAGGGATACGCCACATTTGTGTCTCTCAGTTGGCTTTGGCGTCGAAGAGTGGGAACAGATACACCCTTTCGGGTACCTACTACAATGATTTATTAGATCAATGGAGAATTATCTTATAGTTCACGTGCCATACTACAAGACAGTACTGAAATGCTGTACAATATAATTTGTCTACTTCGGTGGGACACCTTGTTTACGCGTTTCGATTGGGTCTGTGGATTGATCGTGGCTTGACGTCCCAGTGTACGAAGGTGTGTCCTCTAGCTGCGATGCTATGTACAATGTTGACACCTTTTACGCTATGTGTTTACAAACAAAAGGTTTATAGATAAACAAGATGATTTCGATCTCAGTTCTCTCACCCGTGTGGGTCCCTCTTCTCATTACCATTCCTAGACAGAAGCTAACCTTAGAAGATTTACGTTTATAACGTTACTTAAAAAATACCATAAGTAAAAACAGTATCCAGAAATTTTGTCATTATTCAAAAATTTATTTAATGACTAAAAGACTCTGAAAGGACTCAAAATCTTATTTTATATTTTTAGCTACAACCAGATTTAGAGGCCTGCAGTTTTTAGTTTAAGTATTATCGAAACGTTTTCATCATTAAGACCGAACTTGAAATCGAAAGCAACATCTAATCATTACTTATTATGAATGTAATGAATGCTGACTGTTATCTAATAAGTAATTAGATATCGTCCTATATGGTGAGCGATTCAAAGAGCCGGTTACGAACGTCCTGACATTATTTCCTCTAAATTGGATTGTATTATATTTTTAATTTAAGTCATAGGTATTTTATATGTTAAATGTAAATTTAAGTGCTGCCGTGTTTCGACTGTATTTTTTTAACAATTTTAACAAGTGTTTATTTTTCTTCCGCTACCCATCCCTCGTTTGTCCCTCAAATGGATATTTTCGGCCATTATTTATATAAGGTGTACGTACTGTCTCATTGCTCGCTACAGTTACCAGTGCAGCTGCTAGATTCTCTTGCGTTTGGTTACGAGATGACAAGCTTTTGCTGCTGCTAATTGTGATAAGTCTCATCGTTGAGACGATTGTAAGGCTGATGGAGGCTATAACGATGGTTAGGCGATACTGGGTTACCCGAACGGACCTGCTTCATTCTTATTGTTTACTCGCCCCCTGCCTCATCCTCTCGGTCGTCACTGCTGTTGCGCTAGCGTAGTTGTTTATGCTCGTGTATAACTTTTCTCCGCTGATACTTGTTAGAAACGTTCGCGTGGGCTGTGGGTGAACAAAACTGCAAAGAAACAAAGTGGCCTGACCTGGCCTCACGCTGCTAACGGCTGTTCCGTGCCGATGAGTAAACCTGTGATAAGTCACGATGTCAACCAGTAAAAGCGTGACCACTACGCCACAGTCGCTCACAACCAATAGTAAAAGCCCACAACAAGGCGATGCAGCTCATGATGATGAACTAATTCAGGGAGTTGGCTCCATGAGATACGCAACCAAAGTTGACCATTCTCTAGTGTTAGTCAACTAGCGAAATAGCTTACCTCACACCCAAAAGGTGGTGTGTCGCTAACGAAAAAGACCGCGGGGACGTTATTGCCTCTTACAGTAGCACACTATTACCTCACGATCGCAGTTCATTTGAGTGCCGCGGAGGCAACGTCGGTCATTACCCCCCCCACCCTCCCCCTCAATGTGTGTGATCAGTTTTATAGCAACGGAGGCTATGGCAACCCCAACGACAACATAGTGGTGATGTCACATGATTCTGTGATCGGTCATACGACTGCTTGATTGCCTGAGCCTCGTACCGTTTCCGGTCGAGGCATCATTGTCTTCCGGCAGCGCGCACTATTCGAAATAGTCGACTGACTAAAAGTAGAGGAGGGAGGGAAAGGCTAGCTCCATAGTTTGAAACATGGGATCAGAGCATTGCTTCTTCGGAGAATGAACCAGTCAGCCGCTATCTGAATGCATCAATAACAAACCTAGATAGACACCACAGATGGACGTTATGTTACGCCCCCTGCCGGAACGAGCCAGTACAACACGCTAGCCTTTCTCCCTTCATTTGCCTTTTTTCTACGAAGCCTCAATGACTCGTGAACGTTCTATGACCTGACTGGACAACAGAGCCAGTGGTCACATTATGAGAGACACGGTATAACTAATGTATTAATTTGCTTAATATATAATCTCAGGATGTCCTTCGACCTCGAAGTATTTAAATGCTTTAAAAAATAAAAGTTTCGCAATAAAAGCGTTTCGCAAAAAAAATCAGGATTATCTTATGTTTCAATCATTGTTACAGTTAAGATTTTAACTTCGCAAAAGGTGGTTAACTTCAAATGTTTTTCGACACTGCAACCACTGTGACAAAAATAGCTAAGTCAGTGAATCTTAATCTCTCAAGAGATATAACTTAATAATTCAGGTGTTGTCATTCCCACAGGTTTCGTGACCTTTGAAGATTATATATATATATATATATATATGGCGGAACTACAAATACCATCTACAAAGGCCAGAAAACCTGTGGGAATGCAACACCTCGATTATTGGGTTATATCGCCTGAGAAACTAAGATTCATTGGCACCGTTATTTTTGTCACAATGGCTGCAGTGTCAAGAAATATTTGACGTTAACCACCTTTTGCGAATCAATAAGTTAAAATCCTAACTATGACAATTGAAACATAAGAATAATAATAAACGTAATTCTGATTTTTATTTGTAAAATGCTCTTATTGCGAAACTTTTATGTTTCGAAACATTTAAATTCGTGGAGATCGAAGACCGTCCTAAGATTTTCTCTTATTTTTGTAGGAAAGAGAACAGACAAGACTATTACAACTGCTTTAAAACGTAGCTATAAAGAGGTTGGCTGAATTGGATTAAATTGTAACATCGGGCATAGACAGCATTTGTTGGTAAGTATAAGTTATGCTCAATGAATGCTGGCCTACAAGAAGAATATGTTGCTCATGGCCGAAAATATGTGTGATAAGCTATGCTTGATTGCGCCATATGACATAGTTGAACGTAATTCCTGGTATAGGTCTTCCACTAGGAATCAAAGCATCTAGGATAAGAATTCTTAAGGATTTTCTCTTTAGGATGGGAGTTCTTATAGTTAAGCCTTATTTAAATTTAAGGATTATATCAAATTATGCGAACATATAGCAAACGCCCAAATAAATGTAAGACAAAACATCAAAAGGACGATTATGAAATTGTCGTTAAGCTGGGTTTAAGAATTTATAAAGCGCGGCAAAGAGATCCCGCATTATGAGTGAATTTTTTTTGTAGTCATATTCAGCAGGCAACTTTTACTATTAATCTAATATTGACACACATCTTACTATTAACCCTAAGCTTCATCTGAACCTCAATTTTGCGATTATTTTGTCTAAAGACATAGACTTTTCGCATAATTGAGGCGAGTCTTTCCCACTGGGCAAACGAACACTGGCGCGACGCCAAAAATGGCGCTTGTTGGCCGAATTCGATCGATTTAATCTGTATATGTTTTATAAAAATATGTATATGTGAAACACAGTCATACTGTAGTTAAACTGACACCGAAGCAGCATTTTAATAAGCAACTCCTGCTAAAATTAACAAGGATCTCTTATGAGCATTTGTTCTGCATAGATCTAGAGCGGATTTTAGGAATTTATGCTTAGTTATCTTTGTTAGTTATAGTAGAATATAATATAATGTAATTTAGGCATTACACGTGCCATCGCATGGAACTAAAATGCTAGAGACACATTACCTGCAACATTGAAGGTACGAGAATTTGGACAACCCAATTAACGCCTGTCTAACTTTCATTGTTTCGCTTTATGGTTCTTTCGTTAGTTCTAATAATAAACATTTTCTAAATAGCAGTATCTGGTTTATCTAATAGTGATAGGAACTGTGCCGTAACAAAAGGAAGATGGCGTACTTGTGGTTTAATAAAGCTTGGCTGCGTATTCGTACTTTTGATAAAGTAAGGTTGTCAATGTGAATGGATGTTTAAGGAAAACATGCGCTGTTTGTGTAAAAGAATGAAGCGGCCAAGTCGACTCAACCCGGTTGCCTGCAACCAATGGCAGACCCTGTTGAGATATTGTCATACGCATCCGGTTCTCATTTACAAACGCGGATCGACATTAAAAACTAATCAAAATCAAACACGGTGACACATTATAAGTCTACGAAAGATATCTGCCTATGTACTAAAACAGGCATTTTTCGGTAGAATAAGCATCTGTTTTGTAAGTCTTTTTTGTTGTTGGTCTAAATATGTAAACATGACTAGCCTTTCTCTTACGAATAAGAACTACCTAATTTTTTTTCGATATCTATTAATAAGGATTGTACAATTTTATCTACATATTATCGGATTAGTTTGGTGTTTTTGATATAAGCTAAAGTTCAAATAGTAGCCCAGAAATTATTATTATTATGATCATTATCATTCTACGAAAAGCATAACGTACCGCTCTAGAACCCTCACGTAAATTCTCTCTTATCGTCGTCAATTTAAGAACGATACCCAATAATATGTTTTTACATCTAATTTATGTTCTTCTTGCTCTCTTCGTTTGAATTTCAGAGTCGGCAATACGGGGTTCTCGGCCAACATGGTCATCGTAACGCAGGTAATTTTCCGCTTTTTAGTGCAAACCCTTTTATGATGTTAAGTTATGGAAAATAGTCGAAGATTACTTTTCAAGAATTCTAATCTACTGTAGATATATACGCGAACGCTTAAAGGAAAACCGATCCTTACATAATGTTGCCGAACTTCTACATTTCACGCAAAAGATTGCGCCGCAACCTACCAAGACTAAGTAATTTTTCATGTTCAGACAAACGCGACTCAATACAGTCGCCTCTTTTCGAATTCTTTGCGTCAATACTTCTAAGACAAGTAGTTAATTTTATAAGTTACGAAAACTCTTTAAACATATTCGTAATATCGTTCAGAGTAATTTCCTTAGTTAGACAATTCGGACGATTATATTGCCTTTAATATTGACGTTGGTGACGATCGATCGTTGAGTAGCGGCCTTTAGTTGGTTATTCTTTATCGACCGCTTGATTTTAAATTGTTATTGTTATTATCAGTATTTGGAACATCATAACCTGTTTCGGCAGTACTTTATTACCTTAAATTACAAAAGAATGCAATCTAACTTACTTGCCATCTAGTTGTGCTGTTTTTGCTTTAGCGCGTATATGTAGAGCATTTTGAAATTAATAGGTATTATACCATACTTTATGAAAAATAGAATACATTTTTAATAAATAAAGCCTCATTAACTTTATGTAAATCAACTAAAATCAACACCTCATTTTGTATTCTTATTAAATAATGATTCTTCATTAATTTTAGCTACTATGCACTAAACATTTTTGTTGATGTAAGTAGATTAATGTATAGTGAAATCAACTATGGAACCATAACTCATGTGCTGTAATAATATTTTAACAATGGGATTCATATAAATATGTTTTAGGGAGATTAATATTTAACTATCCTAATCAAAGTTTGAATTTCAGGGCGACTTCATCTGGATCGAACCGTCGACGAAGCGCGAGTTCGATGTCGCCATCGGTGCACAGGTCGTCTCCGCAGAAGGTCGTCGGATACAGGTACGATATTTGAAATGTCTAGTCCATACGCCTATTGAAATGCACTTGTTATTAATTAACAGTGATGGTGAACATGTGACTGCCAATTGCATCTATGTATGACTGGCTGCGCTAAATATATAATTTACACAAAAAAATCAGAAATCGCTAACAGTGTTTTTGATGTACGGCAAAACGTCTGTTATATTAAATAATAACAGCGCGTGCAACAAACATAGTGACTTAACATGGAATCAACTGAAAATGACAACGCTTTATAAATGTTGCGGTAATGAGTAATATTAAGCAGCATATTACATGCAAATCCGGCGGACTTTGATATTGAATAATTTTTTAACTACGCGTTGCTAGAAGGCAAAATTCGTCCGTTATATTGGCTGCCCATCGTTTAGTAGTCTTTAACACCTTCCTGCTTAAAAAATGCTATCTTGGATCAAGTGGTGACCTCCTCATACATGCTGGTCTGCATGCAGGGAACCCGATTTGGTTAGCAGCAATTCTATGTTTTAATGAACGCGACATTCAGTTGCCTGGGCAGTTTCTGTAGTAGACAAGCAACACTTCACGTAAATATCCGCCCAGTTACACATGCCTGCCTGTCAAAAACACATGATCGAGTGAATCCTAGAGGGTTGACGGAAATACGTCTACTGGTCAAACCACATCGCACCTCATAAGACATACAAGATATTGCAAAAGCAATGACTTTGTCATCCATATAGCTTCGTCAATTATTACGAACATAGTATGTGTTAAGCTGTTACAAACGAGTCCGCCGGACTTTGAACTATGTGACGTTAGGTAAAATTTCGTTGGTAAATAGTCACGTTTTCTAGAACCTTGGGGGTGAAAATATGTCGAGTTCACCTTAGGGAAAATGGATTCGAAAGAAAAAACAGTTGCATTCTCGGAAACACTTAGGGGTTAAGGCTCAAATTATCGAAGATTAGTGAAGAAATTAGCCAAGAAGACCTTAAATGAAAGCACAGTACGCGAATCGTGGAAACATTTCAAAAACATGCATTTCAGTGTTGAAGACCAGCCAGGAGATAATGCAAATGCTAGAAAAACTGCATTTTCAGGCAGTGATCTCAACAATAATTAGGTGTTTTTGACAAATTGCTTAGCTTTTTTTTGCTTTGAGGTTCTCACAAAATATATAATGTTTTTACAAAAGTTACTTGTTTGGTTTTTCAAGTGCCCTGACATTAGCATAACATTTTAAAAGCTAAAATCAAATTAGCTTTAGATAGCAGAGTAGCTGCGAAGGGTAACGGGTGAATAGTAGAATAGTAATGACTCGGCAATGGGAGTACTGCCTAACTGACACAGGAGAATGGTTTCAAGGTCACACCGTGACTAAAGAAAGACATCCATATCTGAATCAGGGTAACTGAGTAATCGAAATCAGTTACCGAACAGAGTTACCAATGTCATGAGATTATCTCTACTGATTTTGCAGCTGATATGACGATAAAAATGACATGACATAGAACGTTTATGGAGAAGTAACTAAAATAATATAATGGGATGACAGAACGTGATCTAGACCATATGCGAAAAAGGGGCAAATCAGTGCGAAAACTAAGAAGTTCATTGGGTAATGTACATACGGGATGCTACTCGTCAGTGGATAGGTTAAGCAGTAACAACAACTCGGTGTCGATAATGATGAGACCATTGAAAATAATTTTGGTGAACAGGTTCGGGACGATGACGGACGCGATACCTGGCTGGCACCTGAACGCCGCATTAAAGCTATGCATCCAACATCGGTTCAGGGAGTGGAAGACATGATCTCCTTGGGCGACCTGCATGAAGCTGGAATTCTTCGAAACCTACTCATTCGATACAACCACAATCTAATATATGTAAGCGGAAACATGTTACGTAAATCATTTTGTCGTTATGGATAGCTTGTATGTAGTAGGTTAGTTTTAGCTTAGTTAACTCTGTTCGAGACCTTTCCTTCATAGCAACGATAATGCGAGTGTACGACCTTATATCACAGTCGATTGCTGATTCAAACATGCTGAACTTTAGTTGACTTGAGTGAATCAGATCTGCAAAAATATTTTCCAGAACTATAGTTGCTTAGGATACTAGTATGTATAAGATTTGTATTCACATCCATAATGTATTTCAGACGTACACTGGATCAATTCTGGTGGCCGTTAACCCGTATCGGATCCTCCCAATCTATACGGCGGAGCAAATTAAGATGTACCGGGAACGTAAGATTGGTGAACTTCCTCCACACATATTCGCAATCGGGGATAATGCTTATGGCAACATGAAGCGCTTTCATGTTAATCAGTGCATCATCATCTCGGGTGAGTCTGGCGCTGGTAAAACGGAAAGTACGAAACTGATCCTGCAGTATCTTGCTGCAATTTCTGGCCAGCACAGTTGGATCGAGCAACAGATCCTCGAAGCTAACCCCATCCTGGAGGCATTTGGGAACGCCAAAACTATACGCAACGATAATTCTAGTCGCTTCGGAAAGTATATTGATATCCACTTTAACATGGGCGGAGTCATAGAGGGCGCTCGCATTGAGCAATACCTGCTTGAAAAGTCGCGAATCGTTTCACAGGCGTCTGACGAGAGGAATTATCACATATTTTACTGTATGCTTGCTGGACTCAGCAGAGAGGAGAAAGAAAAGCTGGACCTTAATAACTGTTCGAAATATGCGTATCTTACCGGTGGGGGTTCGGTGACGTGTGAAGGACGAAATGATGCCCAAGAGTTTAGCGACATTCGATCAGCAATGAAGGTACTAATGTTTTCTGACGAGGAGATCTGGGAGATTATGAGAATTCTAGCAGCTGTCTTACACCTTGGCAATATCCAATTCAAGCCTACGTTCGTCGATAACCTCGATGCTGTAGAGATTGTCTGCAGTCCATCGGTGCAGAGCGCTGCTAGCCTTCTACGGGTTGAAGTAGCTCAACTCGTACAGGCGTTGACAACGAGGACGATTTTCGCTCATGGTGACACAGTGGTATCAAACATGGGTGTAGATCAAAGCCGAGACGTACGCGACGCCTTTGTTAAAGGCATCTATGGTCGGATGTTTGTTCAGATCGTCAACAAGATCAATGCAGCAATATATAAGCCGAAACAATCAACACAACATTATCGGACATCGATTGGTGTACTTGACATTTTCGGGTTTGAGAATTTTAATGTAAACTCATTCGAGCAGTTCTGCATAAATTACGCAAACGAGAATCTTCAGCAATTTTTTGTACAGCACATATTCAAGCTAGAGCAAGAAGAGTATAATCTCGAAGCTATCAATTGGCAACACATCGAGTTTGTCGATAATCAAGAGGCCCTCGACATGATCGCCGCTAAACCTATGAACATTATGGCGCTGATTGATGAGGAGTCGAAATTTCCTAAAGGTGCGTATATAATGATTAAAAAAAAAGTGTAATACCTTATAACTGCAAATACAGACCGCGTCAATTTGCATGTGCCCAATCAGATTCGAACCGAATATCGTCTGCCTGATAATCTTTCTTAATATAGTCATTAGGTACATCATTAGAATACATGTTTAGTGTTCTTCAAGTCCGTTTGGTCAGTGTTTCAAATAGAAAGCTGCCTTTATTTAAATAGTTTTAGCGATTTCTTTCGGGCACCAATTATATTCGAATACAGTACTGGTTAAGTGATATAGACAAACCCGGTCAATCTAGGTTTTACAGTAAAGTAAGCGCGGGCGTGTGAAAATGTTTTCGTGCTTTTTTTGTGCATAGGAACCGATATGACCCTACTAAATAAGCTCCACAAGCAGCATTCAGCCAATCGAAACTATCTGAAACCAAAGTCGGATATTAGCACTTCGTTTGGGATGTGCCATTTCGCCGGCGTGGTTGTCTACGAGACAAAAGGGTTCCTTGAGAAGAATCGCGATACGTTTAGCGCAGACCTCATTCAGTTGATTCAAATGAGCGAGAATCGTTTCATGCAAAATCTTTTCATTAGCGAAGTCAGCATGGTAAGGAAGCATAATAACAAAAAACCAGCGCTCGCAGACAGGTTTTAAACGCCTAGAATTTTTTAGTTAGAGATGTGCTCTTGACTTTGGATGCCATAAGTATAATGCAAATATAGATATTGAAAAACTTTCAATAACTTTAGATGATGTCGCCAACGACATGTTTGAGCGCGAAATCACTTACGGTAACAGTACGTTGTGATGATTAAAAAATGCTTTGTTATCACAACTTTCGGCAGTAAATGTTAGCCATACCAATACTGAAAAATAAAAAGCTACAAGTAACATTATCTCAGATTTAGACATTATCCTCGTCGGTAAATGACAGAACTAAGTGTTGTACCTACAATAGCATGTACATAAGATGCTCTATGTCGTTCTAGGGAACGGAAACGCGTAAGAAAACACCAACGTTGAGTGCGCAGTTCAAGCGCTCGCTAGACTCTCTAATGAAGGCGCTTAGCCAGTGTCATCCATATTTTATTCGGTGCATCAAGCCGAACGAATTCAAGAAGGCCAAGATGTTTGATCGCGAGCTCTGTTGCAAACAGCTTCGCTACTCAGGAATGATGGAAACCATTCGAATCCGACGGGCCGGTTATCCTATCCGACATACGTTCAGGGAGTTCGTCGAAAGATACCGATTTCTCATTTCGGGGGTTCCCCCGCCGCACAAGTAAGTCAGTTTCCCATCGGCTCTATTAACACAAAACATAAAATACAATCAACTCTATCTTCTGTTTTTATTTCAGTTTTGTAAGATCTTGAATCTGTTTAAAGCGATTACTCATGAGATTCCTATTGAATGCAACGTTAGAAAGTTCAAAATTGAATATGTTACAGTTAGAAAGTGTCATGATAGTCAACTTGCCAAGCGTGATTGCCTGATGCGGTGTTATCGAGTGCTCGTAGCTCACGCTTAGCGTCCGGCTCCCAACCGTCATGCCATCATGGCAATAAGCATTCGCGGGTGAAGTACCGTATGGCTAACAGAAATCACAATATAAACAAACATATGTGCTTCTTTAGAACGCGCTTAGCATATTCTGTACGACGAGATTGATCTCGGAAATATATGGTTAATGGTGAATCAATATTCGCTGCAATCAAGAATCATGATTGCTTTCGTGGGATAGTTTGGGTACACTGATAATAATATAATTGGTTTATTAAATTTATTTTTTCAGAGTGGAATGCAGGCAAGCGGCGTCGAGAATACTTCGATCTGTTTTAGGAAAGGCAGACTTTCAGATTGGGAAGACAAAGGTGTTCTTAAAAGACGCGCAAGATCTTTTCCTTGAACAGGAACGCGACCGGGTACTCACACGCAAGATTCTTGTTCTACAAAAAGCCATTCGTGGATGGTATTATCTTTTATGTTCATATATTCTCCATTGTAACGAGTAGTCAATAGTTTTTTTGCAGAATCTCAGTAGGCTTAGTTTATCTTTCCTCAGCTTCATCGGTCTGGCCAACCACTTCTAATCAACATAGGCCTAACTACCCCTTTCACCCAACTCAAAAACCCGAAGCATCTTCAGACAGCTCAGAGACCTAGATCACACTGCGCACCTATTGGTGGATGTTGAAGAGTCGGTAGTTGATATCTGAGGTAGAGCAGTATCCATGTACATGGCTAGGATGCCGTGGCTCGACTGCATGTTTAATAAACTCAACTGCTTTACCTTATACTTTGCTGAAGTACTTACACCGAGCAATAGGATATCTTACATGGGGTCGCTGAAAAAGGTTCTGTTGGACCTCGAGTCAAGGAAGCGACTCATCCCAAAATCGCCCGCCTTCTGGCCGTTTGCTGAACTGCATCCTTCGAATGCATGGGGGCTGGCACTTTGCTTTTTTAGTATGGAGAAGCTTCTCTGTTGGTAATTTCGAAATAGAAACGAGCGCGGATTCGTTAAAAAAGAACGTTCACTCCAAGTTGCTTGCGTATCCGCTGATTAAGAAACCGCCTGCTGTATTTCAAAAGCAGAAAGGGAACAACATAACACCTGGAAGGGAGTGTTCCAATGAAGTCGCTTACATGGTTCTTATGGCATACACTAAAAGACACTCAAAGCCACTGAGCCTCCTGTACGCGCTGTCTGTTGAGCTCAAGTTGATTTCTATTCGACTTTGCGCGCGAAAATCAAATTTCACAGAACTTGCTCTATGTTTATGTCCTTTTGAGCGTGCTCGTTTAATTAGCTACGATGCTACAAAAGAATGAAATAAAAATAAATTACAGGGTCACGGAAAACTCCCTTTTTTTTTTTCAAACGACGAGCTTGACCTAAGGTGACAATCCGAGTCGACTTATATTTTTATTTCTAGTTAGACTTTACTGATGGAATAAAGAATTTAGTCGAAGTCTTTTTCTATGCGAATGAGTCCGTTATTTACCGCCTTGGCAGATTTCGAGTGCCTCCGGCTCCGGCTAGATTCCGCATAGTATTCACTAAATAGAATTAATAACCAACCTGGCTAAAGTCAAGGCTGTACACATTGAAAGCAGCGATAGGGACGGCAGGTAACCTCATTGTATCATCTCTTCGATATGCTAATAGGTTCCTGTGTATCGGGTTATTAATTTTTTGATAGTCACAGATGTATTTCGCGCATCACAGAGAAGCATAGAAAAGCCCTAACTATGCCTTTAATATAATATAAGCTCCAAAGGAACGCTCTCTCACGATGGCGCTCCATCTATTCGATCTGAAAGTGGTGCCGGATGTGGCTTAGTGAAGATCCTAAACGAAAGGAAAGGCTTGTCGAAATAGATGTAGATTTGTGACAGGTGAAGATCTGACGTAATGGCTCGAAAAAACCGAAGCAGGAAAATCATGTTATCACTTCCTTCGCAGTGTACGATTTCTACCATAATCTATGTACAGATGCTCGCCCTTATGAACCTAATAAAAGGTGTATTTGCAGTAGATGCGGAAGGAGTTGTGATAAATACTGTGCACCAGCCGGCCAGCTGTCTTCTAGTACCCTCGCTAGAAAGCCTGGTTCACAGCCTTGTCTCCCAAATTTTGAACTTATTAGTGTTGAATTTCCTACCAGACAGTTAGTAATTATGAATTTTTTCTAAGATTCTACGAAAGGGTATATAATCTTATACTTAGCTGATATATATATGTATATAAAAAACACTATTTAAATACTGTTGTTTATCAAATCTATCACCAAAGGTAAATGCATCAGTTGATTTTTTCAGTTTCTTTGGGTCCCTTAGTTTTATCTAGTTCTGGGGAGAGTTTGAATGCGGAGTGGTTTTTGTCTTTATCTCTCACACATCCTCTTTATACAGGCAACGTCAGAAAGCTGAGTGGAATGAATCTGTTCATTTATTACGGTAGTTAATCTACTTGCAGAGGGTCAATTCGTAACTGTTTCTGGACAGTGTATGTAATCACCATGTTTGTCGATGCATGCGTATTATAGGTATTGGAGACGACGTTTCGTACGGCAGCGCGCAGCTGCCATTGTGATCCAACACTGGTGGAAAACCAAGCACCAGAGACGGATGTTTCTCAAGCAGATGCGCGGCTTCCAGCGCCTTCAGGCGTTGTGGCGAGGCCGGATTTTGGCTCGGCGCTTCCAGCTACTTCGCGCGAACGTGGTGGCGCTCCAGGCGCGTTGTCGCGGTGTCCTGGTGAGGAGGGAAGCCGCACGACGGCTTCGAGCGGTCGTCATAATTCAAAGCTTCATTCGAATGGTTATCGCTAAAAAACTGTGAGTTATAGCAACACTCCTTAACAATACTGCCTAGATAAATAGAGTTGAATAGGGTAATCGTGAATAACGACTTAATATGCTTGCGTAGTTATTGTTTGTATTTGTTCGTAATTACCTGTAGTATTAGCCCTAAGGAATTACAAAGTAACACAGGATTTGTTCTTTCTATGTTGCGTTTTTTGTGATAAAAATTCATTGAATCATGTGAATATATTGGTTAGCTCATTGATTTCTCTTTAAATTGTCGAGGCTAGATGCATCCAAATTAAAAATTTCCAGACTACCTATTCTCCATGATAAAATGTGGACTTGAAGCAGGCCTAGCACGATCGATTTAACCACAGTATTCATTGCTCGATATATATATATATATATATATATGAGAGAAAGCATTGTGTTTAATACAAGTAATGTTTCTAAATGTTTATGGGCCATTTGGTACTAGCAAGGTACATTTGAGCCTTAATGATTGTCTATTAATTAAGTTCACTGCAGTGAGCAGCTGAGGCGTTTGTGATGTGATATTGGCCCGTCTCATCGTTTTATCGCAGATTTATTGCGCCCCTAATAATTCATGCAATCGGCTTTGTTTAGAACGATGATTTCCCAGCTCGGACCATGATATATGCTATGTTACGCTGCAGAAAGATGACTTGTTTGAGCCAGCCCTATCTGTAAATACTTAAGAAGTGACTGTATTTACATACCGGGATAGAGTTTTAAGTTAGTGGTTCAAGGTGGGTCAAAACAATGTAAAAGGATATCCCAGCAGTATGAAAAGAAAAACGTTTGAATTTCACATCTCTGTATTTGTATATATTTTCACAGATAATCAATTTTCAGAACGTGAGACCACAGCAATCTGGTCAAAGCAAAAATAGAATCAATCTTTTAAACATATTTTTCCTGTAAAATCCGCCTTGACATGCGTGTACAACAAATATTTCTCATATAGCACTCCGTATCGTATACAAATGTGTGCACAATACTTACATATATGCCTATTATACTATCGATGACTTGAGCGACTACGAGCAACGTTTTTTTAGTCATCTAGCGAATCGTAACAAATATTATTTGATGTAAATATATAGATGGGAATTCATTTTTGGGATCCACTGATTGAGCTGTTCCAAAAGTACATTCCGTTATTTTCTAATCATCTGTATTGTACGTAACCTTTTTCTAGACAATGTTAATTCTGTCTCACAACTAGATTCATGCAATTTCGTACTTTTTTGGCTTCCGTGTGTTTGTACTTCCTATATTCCTTTTCTTACACTAAGTCTTACCCTAACACTTAACTCGTTTTGCCCTGCCGACGATCGGTCTTCTTTGGTAAAATTTTAGTCTGTGCGGCTTTGAAATGAGCGGGCGTTCCCCGAATTTTCTTTGATTCCTCCCGCGCGTAAACTAGTACAACAGAAGGGGAGAAACGTTTCCTTATCTCTGCTGTATTCACTGTTGCTTTGGTTGTCTTCGACTCGGAGCATTGACACCACCGAATGATGCTGTTGTAGTAAATATTATCGTGCCAATTTACGGGGTCAAAGGCTGCGTCGAGTCGAGCTTCCCGTCACGGGCGCAGACAAAAGAATGCACATCGCGGCTGGGGGTGTCGTAATTGTACCCGGGCGTATGAGTGTATTTCTGTGTATTTCACTGTGGCGGCATAATTTCACCACGGGAATTTCCGCCGGCCCAATCTAGAACCCTTTTTCAGATGAAGGGCTCAGAGCAGTAAGAGGGACCTGAGAAAGTGCCAGAGCAAATGTCACATTGTGTTCTCACTATTCCTTATGTTGACGGAGAGCAGCGTATGGTAGAAAGGAAAACGAGAACAGAATAGCACTATTACTTCGCATATGTAAGACGACCATGTCAGTGTACATGGTATATGCATACTGCAGAGGGTTCAAATAACCTATTCAATACCGACGAAACAAGGTGGGAATTCAACGTTCTGAACAAATTAAAGCTCACCTTTGATAACTTTAACGCTGAAGCAAACAGAAATACTTCTCGAAACCCGAGTTAAATAACCATTAAATACATGTTCAGTTTATCGCGAGCTTGTCATCGATGTGCAGCTTTCTCACAGTACTATTAATAGTACGATTTTACCGACAGTAGTTAATTTATAGTGAAAAGATGAAGGGATAGCTTTTGTTCATGAACGTCTGTACATTACTAATCCCGCCCAGATTTGCAACAGGGCCCTGGACTATCATAGTTTTGCTCCTCGGGTATCAGCCATCACTGGCGTATCATAGCTGGGCCTCGAATGTGTTATGGCCGCTGGCGTTTCCCGTTGGGTTTATGATTAATGCCAGGGCACACATTCACTTCCATCCTGGCATACTGGCACACTCGCACACCAGCCATGCCGTCAGTTCAGTATGTTACATTCTACATCATATAGTTATTGTCATTATATTGTTATAGGATATAGTGCTACAAGCCTTACTTACGCAAAAAAATTAGCAGGCAACAACAGCAGTACAGCGATAGTTCTTGTCCTCTTTTGAGCCTATAGAACAGCTGGCAGGTGCCAATGAAACAAATACCATTTCTCTGCCTGAAGTGTGCCGCTAAGTTTACATGTATACTGTTATACGATAAAAGTATCGTTAAGTTCTATGTAAGTTTGTTTATTTTAATTAAATCGGATTTGTATTTCTGTGAAAGTGGTCTGCTTAGGAATCTCTGTATTTGTGTTTCGATCAAAGTAGCTGAATAGATTATAAAAATTCTCACGACTGACAGCACGTTTCATCGTAACGAAAGTCGTCTGCGGCCTTGCCTTTTCTATGCATTGAACATACTCAGCTTCTGTTCGATTTCAGCATTGTTATCAATCAAACCTTTACTGAGCAAATAGGTCTAAATAAAGTCTAATTGAGCATAACCAAGACTTATCTGGACATGATCAATACTCAGCTAGCAGAAAGCTTTGTCAAGTTCATGCCACCCATTCAACCAACCAGCAAGACAGCATGACGTTATGAACGCTTACGCTACTTTAGCTGGCGCTATTTTCGTTGTACCGTGGTAAGGGCGGTAACAATGGTGATGTGTACATTGTGGCAGGAATATTCACAGTCATCACCGCGGGAACAGAAATCTCCGCCAGGTTTGCCTGTAGCTGGCCTGCGTGTGAACGGCCGTTTATATCGATGGGCCCACTGTGTTCTTATATCGGAATACCGCAGTAATTGTAAAATAGTGTAGAGTAATATTGGTAAAGTCAAATTCTAATTGCTATTCATAAAACCTGAACTAATCGTTTGCGTACTGAAACTCGGAAAATAGGCCGGAAAAAGTAACTGTTTCTTCAGCCTACTTGGTGTCCTACGTGCGCGTACTGTGTTGCGCTGTGCACAGTGTGTTTCTTATCTAATGTTCTAATAGATCTCGCTAAACATCAAATATGTGAAACCCCATATGATAGTTGTGTTGTGTATACCCATGTTTGCATTATTTCACTTTTAACTGTGTTTATCTTCGTGGCTTTGGGTCTAAAAATAGTCTTCCGTATTTTGTATAGTTAACATTTTATCTAATTCTGGATGTTCGTTTGTTCATATAAGATGATTAATGGGAAACGTTGATACAACTAGGACTTAGGGCACCTTTAAATGTGAAGCACAAGCCCAAGTATCGTAACTGAAGTAAAGCTGTTATCAAACCTACTATGTAAAGTATGGGCATAGGAAGGACGTTTTTGTGTATATGTCAATAATGACTCAAACCAAGCGAACAATTGATGACAGACACAGATTTCGCCCATGCCGCAACACCGCCAAGACATTGTGAAAACAGTTACTCCTAATTTAACAGAAATTACTTTTGCTTTTTGTGGCTATGTGGTTCGGACCGACGCTAATTTAGGTATCAGCGGATGCGTGTCGAGCAGAGCGCCCAGTTAGAAGCAATGCGACTTCGTGACCACGAAGAAATGATGCTTGTTCGACAGTATGGCCCGAAGAAAGCTAAAGAGGTCGCAGAGAAAAAATACAGGTATTCTACAAGTAGGATTGCTGCGATAGGAAAAACCGAATCAAGTGAGCTTATTTGTTGAAGAATCATGTACAGCCTAAAACTTCGTCTGATCGAAGTACAGATTAATGTAGAACTTTTCACTAAAAAATAAATTAAATATTAATAATAGCAATAGCTGTACTAAGGGTAATGATAATAATTGGTAGATTAACTAATTTTTCGAAAATGGGTTATAATCGACTTGTGCGGAGGCTGGCGCAGGAATGAGGGAGTGGTTCCGCAAATAGGAAATACACATTGGTATGGGCTACTGTGTAGTACCAGTCCTGGTGTTATGCCTAATGTGAAATTGAATTAGATAGCAGTCTTTCTAAAAACAGGGGGTGGAAATGCGGCAAACTGGATCGGCAACTCTTTTCGAAACCGTTTTCGTAGCTGTTGTTATGATTCTACTTCAAGCAAATGACCGAGGAACCGTTTCTTACTTACTGGTTCTGGGAGGCGGACATCATACATATTATTATTGTTACCTAGTATTATCTTAATGATTTTTCCAATATTACCCTAAATGAACGCATGATTTCTCTAATATCACCCTCATATCACCCAATAATTACCCTAATACCACCGTAATTACTTTAATATTACCCTAATATCACCCGGTAAATACTCTAATACCACTTAATAATATTACCCCAATATCACTCAGTAATTACCTAGTATTACTTCAACATTATTCTAAATTACCCTGTCTCTCTTAGCCAGTAACTACCCTAATATCATCCCAATAATTACCTTAATATCAGCCGGTATTTACCCTAGTATTACCCAATGATTACATCTAATATTGCTCAATAATTACCCCCAATATCATTCCAATAATTACCCTCATATTGATCTGATCATTATACCGATATTGCGCTAACGTGGTCGGGGCGGGGGACTTATAGTGGTTCGGGCTAGAAAATAGGATAATTACTCTAGCATTACCCTAATGTCACCCCAATAATCACCCTACTATTACTCTAATATTGTAAAATCAACCAGCAATTACCTGAGGAACAGTTTCTTAAGTTCTTTTACTGACTGGTTCTTGGAGGTGGACGTAATACGCGTATCTACGAGATCTCACTGAATTTGATTAGATAGTAATTTTAAAGTAAGCTTTGCTTGGAAGCAAAACTATGTACGTATGTGTAAGACGGCATAATAACGCTGTAATATGAATAGCTTTTCATGCACTCTTGGTATTTTCTATTATATTGGTTTTGAACGACGATACGCTTCATGTAAGTCCATGAAAGTCATAAGGCGCTATAGGTATAATAAATATCAATAGCAAAAGAAACAATCCACATCCAACAAAATTAATTTATAAACAAACATAGCACTTAACTGTACGCAAATATATTTCTGCAAATTCTAAAGGTATTGTGGTTAAGTTGCTATTCGAAATTACTTCAAAATAAATTTTTTAATTATTGTTTTGAAAAAAAGTAAACAGTTATATTTTTATGGAAATCTGACAACGAATTACGAATGTTTGTATTTAGGGAGCGGCTAGCCGCAATCTACAACCGCCAAGTTGAAGAGGATGTAGAGGTTCGAAAGATCCTCGAAATGAAAAAGGCCGCAATTGCAGACGCTGAAAAACGACAGGACGAGCCACTCGATGACTCGAAATTGGTTGATGTTATCTTCGACTTCTTGCCTAGAAGTGACTCCGTTAACGAGCAGGCTGCGCCTACCGCATTTAAAGGTTTACGTCGTTTTTTAATGCTGCATACGTATAAACTTTTTGTGCAGTGGTTAAATAACTTTGAAGAGAAGCCTTGCGGATGTTGGCGCTATTTTCGAAACTGCCGCACGATTGGCTTGCTTAAATATTCAAAGTTTGAGTATATTGGACTCGTACCACAACATATCATTATAAGGCCATTATTGCCGCTTTCCGGAAACTGTAAAATACATAAAGTATAATTAACGCAAATTATAATAGCTACATGCGACACCTTCCCCGCGATATTTTACAGTTATTAAGCATCAATACACCAATATAATAAGTACATTGTTGTTGTTGTATATGTGTATGTTATTGTGTGCCTGCGTTCACTATTATCACAAAACAGAGCAGAATTTTATCCATACCGCAACACAGACACTAGTAAATATTTTATGCCATTAAGTCCGCTTGCGCCGTTCAAACACAGGTTTAAACTCCGTATATAATGTATAACCTTAATTACAGATCTGGAATTACCAAAAGATGCAAGCATGAATCCCGAGCCGGAAGGTTCCATTCCATCCGTGCCTCAAGATCATACAGAGGACTTGTCACAGTATACCTTCCAAAAGTTTGCAGCAACCTATTTTCAAGGTATGTAGTAATTATTATCATTATTAAGGGTATTATGTATTAGACCAAAATATAGCTAAAATATTAGGGGTTACAAACTAGTTGACACTCCTCTTCCAAATCAACCAACTTTGACTATATGTTAATTTTAAAAGGCTTTAATTTAATTTAATGTACCCTTTTGTAGTACTGAATCGCTCATATGTAGTATGTAATCTAACTGATTGCATTTGCAGGCACGCAAAATCATATCTACCAAAAGAAGCCAATTAAGCAGAGTTTATTAGCTTTACCCACACACGGCGACACGATGGCAGCACTCGCTCTATGGATTACGATCTTGCGATTTATGGGAGACCTTCCCGAACCAAAATTTCATAGCATCGATCGAGACAATTCATCGGTCATGTCGAAGGTACCTTGTTTGACGCCTCAACGACAGAACTAGATAAGCTAAAACTACACACGCTGAATAAACTTGTTAATTTTGTATGCTGAGAAGGAACGCAAGCAAGTCTCTAAAATTGTGCTACTAATTTGGCGTTGACCCTAATAGCACCACGTAAGCAGAATAACACAGGTACATTTCCTGTCTGACGCCGACAGGTCACAGCTACACTCGGGCGGAACTTTACCAAGTCTAAAGATTTTCGAGACGCAAAGGACCTGATCGAGAACGGCAATGACATCGGGGCTAAGGAAACAATTAAGGCCAAGAAATCTATCCGAAATAGGCTTGTTTCGCTAACGCTGAAACGGAAGAATAAAATTACCGAAGATATGCGGCGCCACCTACAAGAAGAGGAGTTGGCAGCGGACAGTTATTCACAATGGCTAGAGGCGAGGCCGACATCTAACCTTGAGAAGCTTCACTTCATTATCGGGCACGGCATCCTTCGAGAGGAACTGCGTGATGAGATCTACTGCCAGATATGCAAGCAACTAACGGGAAATCAAGAGAAGAACTCGCATGCACGAGGCTGGGTCTTACTATCGCTATGCGTTGGTTGTTTTGCGCCAAGTGATAAGTTCGTCAAGTATCTACTTAATTTCATTCGTGAGGGCCCACCTGGCTATGCACCTTATTGCGAAGAGCGCCTGCGGCGAACGTTCATGAATGGTACGCGAGGCCAGCCTCCCTCGTGGCTTGAACTGCAAGCGACGAAGTCTAAGAAACCGCTGATGCTGCCCATCACGTTCATGGATGGAAATACCAAAACATTGCTGGCGGATTCTGCGACGACGGCGAGAGAGCTCTGCAATCAATTAGCCGATAAAATCGGTTTACAGGACAGATTCGGCTTTTCTTTATACATCGCCTTATTCGACAAGGTTAGCTCGCTGGGCAGCGGCGGTGAGCATGTGATGGACGCCATCAGTCAGTGCGAGCAGTACACAAAGGAACAAGGCGCACAGGAGAGAAACGCTCCGTGGAGGCTATTCTTTAGGTTGAATAACTTTTCTCTAACTTCGTCTCTAACTGTGTAACTTATTTACCTTCTTGATCTTCTTACCAATTGCAATTTTCGGTCAACTGTGCGATTTGTTGAATCTCATTGTTATAAACATATTCTCATACACTGCGGTTAAATAGTCAAGCATTGCGTATATTTTAATTGTAAATTGACCAGTTCATTGTGTAATATATCAATGAAGAAACATTATAATTGATCGCTGTTACTCTCCAAGCTGTTAGCAGCAGATAATGAAGACGTGAGATGATTTTGTCGGGACTATCTGGCCGTACCAACAAAAAATACACATATGCACAATATTTCTACACTGTACTCCTTCTAAACATTATGATATCCACTTTTTTGAAACGTTTCAAACACGGTTTACAGAAAAGAGATTTTTGCCCCTTGGCACAACCCCATGGAGGATGGTGTTGCGACAAACCTCATCTACCAACAAGTAATTCGTGGTGTGAAATTCGGCGAATATAAATGCGAAAAAGAAGAAGATCTCGCTATGTTGACTGCGCAGCAATTCTATGTAGAAAATTTTAATAGTTAGTATACAAATATTTACTCTTGACCCCTAACACATTAATAAACATTACATTTCTGGGCACTACTGTGCTCGCTTTTATGACGACACGTGGAAAACGATCAAAATAGACCAAGCTAAGTTATTGCAACTAAGATGAGTGCTATTTCGTCTGAAAAGCCACAGTTCATCAATTTGAATCTCCATCCAAATTGATATCTAGGAGATATCCGTGATCAGTTTCTCGGTTTGTGTGAAACGACATCGATTGACGGTGTACATATACAAGTGTCAAGGCAAGTCCATTTAGCATAGAGCTTCAATCTGTATCATCTCTAATGGCAGGTGCAGACCTCGAGATTAGCGCGGAACGTGTCCGAAGTATCATTCCTGGTTGCATACCGGACTCCCATCTTTTGGCCGGCGAACGCGCACTTGATCGTTGGACCCATCTTATCTCGCAGGCTTATCGGAAGAGCTATTACTTGAGGGAACGTGAGTATATATTCTATATACTCTATAATATATATATTCTAAACGTCGCTGTCATTTTATCGCTACTTTCTGCTTTACTATTATAACATACATTGGCGAAATTTTAGAGAGCGAATCTGAAATAGTAATATACTTTAGGTCATAGAGGCATCGCAATTATAGCATAAGGATATCACTGTATTATTTACCTGTAATCTGTAGGTACGGAGGCGCTCCGTGTGAAGGAGGATGTCGTGGATTATGCTAAGTTCAAATGGCCTCTACTTTTCTCACGCTTCTACGAGGCCGTTCGACTCGCTGGTCCCCCACTTGCAAAGAACGACGTCATTGTTGCCATCAATTGGACAGGTGTTTACATTGTTGACGAGATGGAGCAGGTCCTTCTTGAGCTTTCTTTCCCTGAACTCACGCACATCGCTAGCCAAAGGTAAGTGGATGGTTGCGCGGCAGATCGCGAAATATTCCCCTCTACTTGATTTTAATTAATCATATATATATATATATATATATATATATATGCGTCGAGTATGATCAACTGTGACATTATCGAAGCACTCAACGCAAGATCCTACCTACGTTTGCTTTGTGATTTGATGTCGGCCGAGCTAGAAATAGGACACGTTTAAGAAAGCTTCTAGGACGAATGTAAGATAAAGACTATTCTTATCTTTAATCAAAAACTCTTAATCAAAAACTCAGAGATTTATTGAAATGGACGTTCTATTACCAGATTCGTTACGTATTGATTTGGATTTGGTTTTATTATTTTGTTTGTTAACGTCAAGCTTTAAACTAGTTGTAGTTAAATTTAAAAAACCGTATAATTGATAGTGACATACTTCTAAAGCTAACATACGACGCTCTGTATATATATATATATATATATATATATATATTCCCTTTGTTACGTTTCCTCATTGCTATTTTTGTGCGTTATGTGCGTCAAAGAAAGCGTATAAAAGAAGGTTAATTTCACTAAATAAACTGTTATGATGCGCTAATAATAGAATATCCGTGTTAAGCCCCAGTTATTTTTTTCAAAATTTTCTAATAATAAAGTTTTTGCCTTAATCATATATATAATTATTCTTGCTTCTAAGTGGAAATTACTTAGTCGCTATGTTTTGTTATATGCATGTATACCTGGATGTATTGTGATGTTTCAATTACATATGTATTTGTGTGTCGGCTCATGTGCGTCGATTCTAGTTGGTAGCCCTTAGATAGGTGAGTGTATCTGCCGGCATACGCCTGCAATTCAACGAATCGGGAGCTTCCGTCACGATCTTCGCTCTCATTCTGTTGTTACCTTTTTCCTTGTCGATATATAGCGCAATAGTTCAAGAAGCATTAGCGGTAACAGCATAAGCAATAGGTAAGACACGTTTACACAGAAACACAGAAAGTTTAAAGAAATGCGAGAGCCCTGGGATGACTATTGCTGGTTAATAGCAAATAGAGCAACTTCGTCTTGCTGGTTCAGCGCGCGTTGCTGTTCTAGATGGCATACCGCTGATCTGTACACGTTATAAATTCGTCATTGCCCAAATCGATGCAGATACGATGAACTGATTTTAAAAGTTATGCCAGCCGTCCATGATACGATCGTTCGTTCAGCAACGAACCCACTTCCCACTGACTTTTGAACTCCAGCGAGTTCGAGAAGATCTATGTACAGTGTTGCTTTCAATATAAAACTTAGATATATAGGCTAAACACGCAACCATTCATAGTCCGGGTTGCGTTCCCTTTGCTGACGCTGGCAGATGTAAATCGTGCTAAGAATAGCAGAAATAAAGCCGGAGAGCTGGTTACGACGCTGGCGGAAACAACGATTTCGACAATAACTGGAACATCGGTTAAGGACTACACATCGAAAAGTCTTCACGTGTCATTATGATTTAATATAAATTTTTTACCCTTCGGCTGCTCGGTAACATCGACATGAGGCTGACCCACCCATTTGGGGCGCTGGATGTTGAGTCAGCTGGGAAAAACACTTGACCCTGCAGTCACGGTCTCAGTGGAAAGCGTAGTACCGTTTATATATAACCATTGACTGTAGATGAAGTTCTCAATTGATGATCTGCGTCTTGTCGTAACTTGTCTCCAACTTTTATTCTTTGTCGTTTCGTTTGGAGAAGGCGTGCATGCTCGATCGGCTTGTCCGTCCGTTTGCATGTCTCTGTGTATTTCCTGTATCATATTTGACCGTAATCGACTTGTCACTTCGGTCGACAGCCGCCATTTACTATGTTATCCACATTCGGCTCAGATGTGGAGCAAGAAGTAAGCAAACATTCTGCTTTTTTGCTGTTGTGTACGGTTCTGATATATTTGGTAGCCTGCATGACTTATACCAGATTTGTAAGATAGAGGCTCTGTCAACTGTCAACAGGTAAATAGATATTACTTGAAACTACTGTGTTTGCGACGACACGCCTAGGTTGTCTTTAGTCGGAGGCTTGCTTGATCAGAACGCCACCAATATCAGTACCTACCTTTTTTCTCTACACATCTCTAATAGTCGCTTAATATGGATCACATAGCCTGACCTAAATCAAAGCTTTTCAATCGTTTTAATTGACATCTTTCATATATACATAAGCACTTTGATAAAACTATTTTGCCATCGATAGAAAACTGCAGTCGTTCTGAATTAGTATTTTGGCAGCGTTAATTTATAATATTTGTTATTTAGGATGAATTTGTTTGCTTTTTATATGATGTTATATATACAGCCCTTCGGGTCTACTGCGGAATTGTTGCCAAGTTACTAGAAACGAGGATTTAGGGACGCCCTAGTGAACGAGTCTTTCAAGTTTGGTAACGGAAGAAAAACTGTCTTTACAGTTACACAAATAGCAAATATTTTCATTGTCTTTTTCTTTACTATACTTTGTCACATAACTTTTTTAGATAACTTACCTAACGTACCGCATTTTCTCGCAGTGTGTTATTTTGGATAGCACGTTTGTCGTCCCAGTTTTTATCAGCACACAGAATTAGATGTAAGTGTTTTCAATGATGTTCTACTGTTTTTTTAGGCACGGCTATTTGCCGGTCGACTTGACTTGGGCGATTTATAAGCAAACCGGCATCAAATGGCAAAGGTGTAAATAATGATATTTGTGGGTGCTACGCTTGGAGTTCAGGATCTGGAATAAGCAAGATGAACACAATGAATACTGTGATTGTTGTTTTCTCGATTTGCTCGGTACTCTAATTCGTATTCTTGTCCTTTAACCTGTGCGCCTCCAAAAAAAAAGAAGGAACTCAAATAAACTACGAATTTGACCGCGACAAATAAAAAAAATTAACAGATGTACTTGTTTTTCGTCTTGTTTAATATTTGTTGTCCTGTGGTGGTCTACTATTAGCGGGGAACGAAGTAGGAGTTAATTATTGTAACGTAACCCATGTAGCGTAACTGGGTTAGCCCAGTAACTTACATTTTCTTCATGATGAATCTATTGTTCTCCGACCAATTCCTACATATTTAACGCGTTCTCCTGCTTCTATCGGGCACGCTATCCTATGTCATTCCATATCCAGATTGTCCTCGAATTGAAAGTCACAATATTAGTGGAAAGCTGTGACTTCAACAAAAACGACTTCCAATTTTGTCGGACTTTTATCATGGCGCACTATATATATGGATTGTAAAACAGAAACAAAAATACATATAAACGTGATTATAGAACCATAAAATATTTGATCATCTGGGAACATCCCTGTTACCAGCCCACACCCACACATCGTGACTCTTCACCAGCGTATGCGAACGCCATCAATCATATTCACGAAATCTCTCTCCTTTTATTGGTTGATCGTCATCACTAACGGTTATTTTACGGTAAAATTACTTTAGCGCGCATATGTCTTTGACGCCCTGCTGTTTTTTCGTATATCGGTTACATGTGCCCGGCCATTGAAGCACACAGGGCACAGTGATTATTGTTCGTGCGGGGAGCATCGATTTTTACACCGTATATTTTGAGCCTTTGCTTCAAGTCGAAATGACTTCTTTTCGGTACTTTCCGTCTTGCAAACTCAATTTTTAGTGGTAGTAATGTGGTGCGTACAATCTGATCAGTAATGTAAGCTTAAGACTTTGTTAATGCGCGTACGCCATCTCAAATCAGGCGGAAGTAACCAGATTACAGACCGGCCGATCGTTGCCGTATTATGTTACAGAGCGCCGACGTATAGCAGCCATAACAGAAGCAGTAGTAGCCAAAAAGAGAAGGAATATTAAAAAAAAAAACCGTGATTTAAGTTACCGAGTCAGTTCAGCAGATAGCGAACACCTGCCACACATCTCCGACCGTTGCCACGTGCCGTGCTACAGGGACAGATCAGCACCATTTTGCATTTCGCCGAGTTGAATCCTCATTTCATCATCGTACCACATCATGATATACCTATGCGTTTGTTGAGAAGGCATTGACACTTGAATTGAATGCTGGCCCTTCAGCTGCCATCATGTCCTTTGTCTGCTATTCAATAAGTTCGTTACTGTTAGTCTTAGTTGGCGAACATCTTTTGTGGCGCCGATGACAACCCCTCACCCTCGTACGACCCCTTCTCCCGTATCACGTTCTTCGTGTGTCGTAAGTTTATATCGAAGGAGGAAAAATCACAGTTGACATTTTCTCCTAGATACTAAAAGTTGCGCAACAAAAACAACTTCAAAGGCGACAAGACGCCACTAGCCGAATTAAAGGGCTAGAAGATGAAAGAAGCCTAAGAATAGGCAGGCGACTTGACGCTGGCGCCGTGATCCTTCGACAGCAAATGTTAACGGAAAAGCACCGATTTTCGATAGTTCATGTAGTAATAATAAAATCAGCAGCAGCAGCAGCAGCGGTAACAAAAATATCATCAACAACAAAAATGACCACAGCATCAGCACCAGCAAGTTGCTGTCAAATGATCCTACTACCATTTGACTTAAATCTGTCATTAATTACCTGACACTGGATAAAAAAAATTGGTCATGCAGCGGCCTGTCATAGCTTTATTCTACTATAATTTTATTCATCGAGTCTATAGGAAAGTCGGTAGTATGGCTTTCCCCCATCATTAGCAGAATCAAGCGACCCCTTCGTAGTGAGCAGGGTATAGCATGCTGTATTGACAAGACGTTGTTATTGTTACTGTTTAATATTGAAATGGAGAAGCTGTCGTTATTGTTGTCAGCACTGTAACCGTTGTTTTTGTAGCTAAACCAGTAACAACAACAACAGCGAGGGTGGTGATTATGCAGTAGCTAAAGATAGGCGGAGTTCTGTATGATACCGATGTTTTGTAGTCGTTGCAGCCGTATTTAGCCGCCGATAGCATGAACGCAGCAGCATATCAACAAAAATAAAAACGGCAATTTTTCACGCCGTTATTGCTGGTATTCCTCCTCTTTTTCTGTACTGCCTACTTTTCTCCGCTGCGTTCTACGACCCATAAAGGGACCAGATAAATGAGCACTTGGTAGGATAAGGTGGTTTTAGTTGGTTGTTCGTGATTGTTGGTAGTAACGACTAGTAGCTGCCACTGCCGCTGCTGGTGTTGAGAAGCTGAGGATTTCGCGTGACCAACATTATGCCGCTAGCCCAAATCAGCGGGAGCATCTGACGTCGGTGGGCCATTTCCACTGAACAAAGATGCAACGCATCGGCGGGATCTTTAGAAAATGTTCGCAACTCCATTGAATTATTGTCGCCCGTGAGGTTTAACCGTCGAGAGCCGGCCGACCGGCTGGTCCGTCGACCTAGCATAACCCTAGCCTTCTGCTTAAGGTTATGCCAGGCAGTATGACATCTGTCGTTCTCATTTTAAGTGCGGAGATAATGCTACATCAGCTGAAAGTTAAAAGAACCATTTTTGCAGATCCTGCCTCGCTAAACGGATTCGAACGCTCTTAAGCAAACCTGCGACAGCAATCTCAACTGTGCGCCTAGCGAGGACGAACTCTTTTGCCAGATACGAAAAAGCGACAGGGGAGAAAGAGAAAGTCTGAGGTAGAGTTTGACACTGTCTACATACGGTATCGATTCACTTGAACGTGGTAGCTTTTGCAAGCGAGCACTTGGTCGTATTGCAGCAAATTCGTTCCAAAGTGGGCACATGTAGGTTACAGTTCCATGCTGCACACTCGGTTATCTGGACAGAACATCTGGCGTTTTAATCCAAAGATTTCCCAGGTCGTTTGTGCCGGTTAATATAGGTAGCGCTAATACTGCCTCGCTATCAATCTGCATACACGCTACTGTCGAACGAATAGTGCCGCCACCGCTAGTGGAGTACCGCATAGTTGGTTATTGTGTCTACTCAGTGGCCGCAGCTGCATGGAGCCGAACGCCCTGATCGCAAATTAACTCTCTAAGACTATTTGTCCGACTGTAGCTGCTCGAATGTTGACTCGATGCCGCCTCCAGATTGAAAATGTTGACGAAAAAGTAAAATGGGCTTGCTCTAATTGATAGGAACGTGTAGATACAGAACGTCAATAATTACTTCGGTAATGTACGTAAAGGCGTACGAAGTTAGAGTCTTGTTTCTGCTACGTTGTTTACACTGTGCGGTTACCGTTGCTACTGCTAATGTTATTTATTTTGCCTTATTATCCTCGCGGACGCTGTTGTTGTTACTATTCGCGTCACTGTTACATTTCATCTTTCGAATTTGACGATTCGTCCGCCAGGGAAAGTTGTTGCGGCCGTTTTTATCAGACTAATACTTTGAATATCGATAGACACAACCACCGCCATTACTTACTGCAACTGCTATAGCAGCTATTGCATACTGATTACGACGTTACGTGCTCAACATGCCGTTACCGGTGGGCCCCATCTCACCCTCGCCTGTGGGCGAGCGCAGAGCTCTAGCTCCAGACCGCCGCTGTTCCAAAACGATCGGCCGGAGACAATCGTGCCTTAAATTGTCAGGACTTATCGCGCGCACGTAAAGCAGCCGTTTAGCCGCTACACGCGTGCAGTCGTTGTTCAGTGACGGTTTATTATATGAATTAGTAGCAACGATGAGCGATATTGATAAGCGATATGAAGTTGATGAGCAACTTGCCGGCACGGAGTTTCATATCTTAATTTAAACCGCCGACAAAAAGTAACATCCATTGTTTTCAATGTCGGTGATGATATCCCTTTCTGCTTGAACAATTACTAGTTTGCAAGTGAGTGCGTGTATATAGCACTGAGGGGGTGCGGCAAACGGTACTCGATGCGATTGAATTTAGAAGAACTGTACTGCTTCGTATCACTTATTATGCCATAAATCTAGAAAAACAATGTAAAACTTTATATCCATTGAAAGAAACCAAAAGAAAAGGAAACTTTGGATACAGTGAATCAAGCAATAACGAAAATACTTCAGTCATCCTGGAAGGTACGTTTTCATTCGAAGATTAACTATGAAACCTATTAAAAATTGTGCGCGATAACTGCCGATCGAACTTATAACTAAATAATAGCGAATATTTTTTAGTCAATCAAGCTTTGGTTGATTCTTCAGTTCTTTGGCAACTAGCTCTTTGATAGGTGTGTATTTAACATGCTGACATGTTCTACAATGCCTCGATTATATCTGGTCGCGTCCCGGTTAGTTCCCTTATAAATCTCTATGAGGACTTCGCTAGAAAGAAAATACATGCTGTTAATAGTGGATACTGTTAGCAGGAATAGATTCATAGGTAAATAACCGTTTACATCTATTTTGACGTTCGAGAATTTTCGTACGGGAAAAGTAATTTATACGCTATACATATATTTCCTTTCTTATTACCAGTATGTTGTATCTAAACTTTCGGATTAGAATTATATCTAATTCAGTTCAGCAGTATAGTAGTTGCCTAAGGAAGTTTGTGGCACCTTTTGAACCTTCATAGAGTGTTTCTCCAGAACCTTTTTAGAATCGTAAATAGGCAAAGCCTGCTGTACTTACTGGGTGCATCTGCACTGAGACCAGAGCTCTTTAGGTACAGCGACGCTGGGATGGATCTTTGTTGTGGTGGTGTTTATGGTTAGCAGCTACGACTTTCAAGAGTAAAATAGCGGTAAATCATATATTACTTAAGCATTCATCTTGTTTCGTACTAGAGCGATTGTCTTCCAACAGCACAAATATATCCCTATCTATCTACATTTAAATTCCCTTGATGAGGCAAGGTCGTCTAGGCTCAGATTCGTTGTCGGCAAAGCTCGAGTCGTTTGAGGCCGTCGAAAGAAGCCGAACGAAGTTTCATTGCCTTGTTCGTCCCGTTAATTTTTGGCCAAAATATGCAAAAACAGTGCGTAATAAATTTTTGGCCCATTAATTAATGAATTTTATTAGGAACATGACAAATCAACCTCGATTACTCGTACGGGGCGCGTTTGTCGATAACCCACATCAGCTGCTTTACCTTTGCGTGGTTTGCTGTTTTTTGGTATTTATTACAATCAGTGCGATAACTATAAATAGCGAAGAGCATACGTGACCACGCGTTTGCGGACGACGTCGTTCATTTCAGCTCCTACAACGCGAATGAAGGAGAACGCATGCACTGCGTTCCTTTCGGTCCGGTGAAGTGTCAGTGTTTTTGTTTGGACGTTACTCGTTTTGGGTCGTTTCATTCAGAAAGGCAGAGCGGACCGTTGTATCAGCAGCGAATAGAAACACAGTCACGAAAAAACGAAATTACATAGCGACACAAACGAAAGTAGTTTTTTCGTAATTTATCAGCTGAGCCACTCTGGCCTAAAAATCGTTATATCACCTTCGAAAAGCCTTGTAACACTTAACACGACACAGAGTATAGACATTGAGAAGAAATTATATTTCTATAAAAGTACATTTGGCGTTTCGCGCGAAAAGAACCTTGTCAATATCTATGCATAAGATTTGTATTGACAGTATAGTCTATATTCCCTTATCATCTCCCGCTTTTTTTTCGGCTGTCGGTAGAAGTGAAACACATCGACGACGACGACGTAGGTTTAAAAAGGCTAATGCAATAACCTTTAGGTATTAAACAAAACGGAAAGCTTCCACCGTTTCTACCTCCATGAGCTTCTATTTCCAGAATTATAATGCAAACATAACTAAAGACAAAACGACAACAGGCACGTTGGCTATTTTTTGCACGAAACTACATACAGGACATGAACATAACTATTCTATAATTTTGATTGTTTTTTAGTAGCCCTCTTTATCGAATTTAAGTTAATTGACGGAATAACGATTGTGAAATAAATCGATGCATACGTCTTAAGTGTTTTACGTAACTATGAGGCGAACATTGCAAAATATCAGGTCTATTTCACTTTACCGTGCCTTCGTAATGAGCTTATTTTGAAGAAGCTTACAATTTACGCAATATGCATATTTGGCCTGCCAGCTAAGTGTGAAAGCGTATGTTCGAAGTGATGCAGATTG